CGCCCTGCTGGCTGTGGGAGACTTCTGCCCCGGCGGCTTGCGCCCGCACTGAGCGCTGCCCAGGGGGGTCCCAACGGGAGCTGCGTGGGTAGCGTCCAGCGGGGCCTCTCTGTCAGCCAGTGTGGACACTGGACAGAAAAGAGCTTCCGCCTGCAGATCTAGGCTCTTGGCAATTGGGGGCAGATGCATGGGGGGCACCAGGCAGTGCCCGGAACCCTGGACACCTGGAGAAAGGGGTCTCTCTGATCGAGCCCCATCACCCCCACCGACGCTCCCACTGTCCCCCCTGCCGGCTGCTCCGGGGGTCTCTGCGGCCTTGTCGCCCTCCTCCAGGAGGCTGCCCCCCGCACCGTCGGAGCCCACAGACAGCCGGGAGTTGTTGAGGTGCGTCTGGGTGCGCCTGTGCTTGTACAGGTTGCTCTGGGTCTTGAAGGCGATGCCACAGGTGGCACACGGGAAGGGCCTCTCTCCGGTGTGGGATCGAACGTGCTTCTCCAGCACACTGGGTTTCAGGCAGTCCCGGCCGCAGTGTGGGCACAGGTACTTGCCAGCTTTACGCGCCTTCCCCGGACTGCCCAGCGTGGGCCCCGGTGACAGGACAGGGAGGGTGCCCACGATGTTCACAGTGACCGTTGGGGTCACTGGCTTCCCGACCTGGGCAGGGCCAGGGCCTTCAGGCTGCAGCAGGGGGCTGAGGATGAAGGGTACGCTGCCCCCGTCCACACTGCCCGTCACCAGGGGGGCACGTGGCTGGAGACCCCCAGGAGGCACTGTGTGGTACAGTGGGATGGGCAGCGCCTTCAGGAACACAGTGGGAGCCAGGCTCTGCTCTGGCGGCAGAATGATGGGGCCCAGAGTCAGGTGTGGTGAGGCCTGCTGACCTGGGGCCGCTGGAGTCCCAGGGGCAAGAGCTGGCTGATCCCTGGCAGGTGAGGCAGGGCAGTTGAGTTCTGGCACCTCCATCCCACATCGTCTGTGTGGCCCAGGATGCTAGGTAACCTGCAGGCAAAACCAGACTTTACCATGGGCACCTGTCTTTCATCACACGCACACTCTCCCCTGACGCCCACTGAGCATTCATCACCCACTGAAACCTGACAACAATCCCCCAAGAAAAGTACTCTTATCCTTATATCAGGAAAGGGGAAACTGAGGCTCAGAGAATGGAGGTGACTTGACACGCAGCTGACATGGCAAAGGCAGTGGCATGTGGGAGCCAGCTCAGATCGATCCACACTGGCTCGTGAGAGCTGATGGTTACGTTTTCAGGAATTTTGCGAGCCAATTGTTAAACATGGCCATAATTAAAAGTTATATTATACTAGAGGCCCGGTGCACAAAAATTTGCGCACTCGGGTGGGGGAGGGGGGTCCCTCAGCCCAGCCTGTGACCTCTCGCAGTCTGGGACCCCTTGGGAGATAACGACCTGCTGGCTTAGGCCTGCTCCCGGGTGGCAGAGGGCAGGCCTAATCCCTAGGTGCAGCCCATGGTCGGGCTCAGAGCAGGGCCGATTGGGGAGGTTGGGCACCGCCCCCTGTCATGCACAGAGCAGGGCAGATCAGGAGGTTGCGATACCACCCTCAGTCACACTCAAGGCAGGGTCGATGGGGAGGTTGCAGCACCACCCCCTCTCGAGCACAGAGCAGGGCCAATCAGGGGGTTGGGGAGCTGCCCCCTGCCATGCA